GAAGTACAACTAAATAAAACCAAGTTTCAGTGGGGCAGTGAGGACACAGAAGTCTTCCCATTCTGCTAGTAGGAAATACATAAATAGGTGGCATCATGGAAGGGCAGGTATCAAATGTTTTCTTTGTAGATTAATTAGTAATTCCTCTCCTACCTACATAGACTCAAGAAATCCTCATTCGCATAGACACACAATCAGCTTTGTTAGCAGAAAGTAGTAGGCAAGCTACCTATTTATTATTGGGGGAAAAGAATTATAAAAACTTGTTGGATGTACCCCCATAGAGAGTAGTAATCAGAAATAATGAACAGTATGTATACATACCAGTAAGAGCAAATCTCAAAAACATAATGTCTAAAGAAAGGAAAAACAGAGGTGCACAAGAATCACAGTCAACAAAGGTAAAAATTACTCCATCCACAACCCTGTGGGTCTAAAGGCAGAGAGGCAAGATAAACAGATACCGGCAGGTGAAAAGGACTGCACTCATGACCACACGTAGGTTTGGTGGGTAATATTTCTACATTCATACTAGTAAATGCTGTAAATGTATCTATATGTACAGCAGATTCAAGCCATGACCTTTTCTAATACTTGCTATTCCTTGATGAGTAGATATTGAATAAAGACAAAAGAAGAAAAATCAGTGCCTTTGAGCTGTGGTGCTAGAGTGGGCACTGAATATTCCATGGACTGCCAAGGGAACAAACAAGTATGTCTTGAAGAGTGTAGCCAGGATGCTCCGTAAAGGGAATGATGGCGAAACTTCGTCTCACATACTTTAGGCATGTTGTCAGGAGGGGCTAGACCGTGGAGAAAGAAAAGTGGGGAGTCAGCGAAGGAGGGGAAGATCGTCAAAGGGATGGACTGACTCAGTGACTGTCACTATAACAACGGGCTCTAGTGTGGCAGAGATGATGAGGATGATACAGGATAGGGCAGGGTTCAGATCTGATTTTCACAGGGTTGCTAGAAACTCTAAGGAGATAATGAAATTATAGATCACTAAACACCTGAGAACAGATTACTCTGAAAAGACAGAAGTTCACAGTTCACAGGAGGCAAAGTTAAATAAACTTCATAATCAGAACTCTATGCACAAGCTCTGAACCCTGCCCTAACCTGAGCCAATATGTGACACACGTTACCCCAGTTACTGTGTCAACTCATCTCATCCGGGATCTTCCTCTCCTATACTGACCCTCTATTCTTTCAAGCATAATGTCTTTCTCCAAGGTGCCTCGTCTCAGCCACAACAGCCGGAATCCTGTTGTGTTGTCCAGTTCACAAATTATATCAACTAATGGGCTAGACAATGACCAGGGAGGAGAGAAGGAGAATTGATACTTTTGAGCTTTGGTGCTGGAGAAGAGTGTTGAGGGTACCAAGGACTGCTAAGAAAACAAACAGATTCATTCTGGAGAGGGTTAAACCAGGCTGCTCCTTGGAGGCAAGGATTCTGAAACTTCATCTGACATACTCTGGTCATGTTGTAAGGAGGAACCCGTCCTTGGAGAGGGACATCATGCTTGGGAGGGTGGAGGGCAGGCGCAGGAGGGGAAGGCCCTCTGGGAGGTGGACTGATTCGGTGACTGGGGCAATCGGGATGAGTGTGTCAGAGACAATGAGATTGGCACAGGACAGAGCAGAGTTTAGAGCTGTTGTACATAGGGTCAACTTGACGGCACATAACAACAACAACAATGAATTTCCAGCAGTATTTTAACTTTTTTTTTTTTTTACTCTCAGAGATTATACAGGTTTGGTCAGGTTTAACTATCAAACATGAAAGTTCATCCATAATTCAGAGTAATTTCAATTGTGCTGGGTGAGGTACGGTCTTACAATTCTATAAACTATAATGTTGCAAATATGTTTTTTCAAGAAAATTCATCTTAATATTGAAATGAGTACTCATTTCCTTACAATGAAAATATGTTAGTCCAGTGTTATTTTGAAATACCCAGGATGTCAAATGTTGTAATAGAGGTCTAAAAAAAGCAAACAAAATATATGGTCTTGAGACTTACACATAGACCTAGGAGACGACTATGAAATGACAGAAGGAAAAATACAAGGGAAGAGTACTGAGGCATACTGACCAAAATATAAGCACCATTTACAAAGGCTGTAAGATATAAACTAAACCTAGACAGGTTTACAACAGATGTGTCCTAGCCTTCATCTTTCTAGATCTCTTATTTACGCCATCCCGATTGCTATCTAATCATAATTATAAGACATAATCTTAACAGCGGATTATGTCTTGCATTAAAAGAAAAAAATTATCACCAACTAGAAGTCAGGAACTCATATCTCCTTGAGATGTGTTAAAGAAATGTCATGAGGGAGCTCTGGTGGCCTAATGGCAAGACACTGCACTGCAATCCCAAAGGTATGCGGTTCAAATACACCAGATGCTCTGCTGGAGAAGGAGGGGGCAATCTCCTCCTGTACCAGTCAGATCTCATTTGATGGTACACGTAAAAATAATACAATAAAAATAAAAAATTAAAAATTAAAAAAAAAAGTCATTAACAAATGGAGAGAAATGATAAATGATGGAGCTATTGGACTACACTGGATGAATATTTCAAGAAACAATCAGACTCATTAAGGTAAACAGCACACCTGTCAAACATGTCTTACACCCTTTTGTGCCTGCTGTGCCCTTCCTTACTTCAAGTAACCACCTCAATCTCTTCCTACATTCCCTACTCTCCCATTTCTAACTAATACTTACATCAAACCTCTATTCTTTCTCTCAAACCCAGTTAAAATGCCATCTCATTCAGGAAGCTTGTCTGGTCCATTTGCTTCTACTAAAGACTCAATGCTTCCTTCCTTTGTTCTAAGTTTATACCCCATATTATATGAAACAATTCATTTAAATGCCTGCCTTCTCTAGTAGAGTGTAAGTCAATTTCCAAGATGCAAAGAGCTAGTTATTTTATTTCCTTGTGCCACACTCAAAGCAGACAGTGAACATTTAGTAAATACATGAATACATAAAGCAAGAAAAACCTGTCATCAGATGTCAAATTAATCTATAAGCTTACCTTTAAAAAGTCATTCATTTCTATAGTCAAATCCGAATTTTTCTTTATCCTTGGGCTTACATATAGTGGAGATAAGTTACTAAATACTCTTTTCTTGAAAGAAAAGTAACTGACAAAATAATTCATTATAAAAATGGAATTAACAGTTTAAATTAATCTCTCTTTATGAGCCATCTCATAGCTGACCCTCCAGCAGGTTTCCAAGAGCTGTATATTGCAAGGGATGAGAATACCCATCTTTCTCCTAAGAAGCTTCTGGTGAATTCCAACTGTCAGGGATGGGCCACCTTTGAGTTTGCAGCACCAATTCCCCAATGTCTAGGCCACAGGACGCCAAATACATAGAAGAGTTACCCACTGTTAGAGTCATTAAAGTAATAAATGAGTTTCAGAATCCCCTTCCCTGTAGCCTCAATGTCAAAAACAGATACTCAATTGACAGGTTAAAACTTCTCTACATAAAAAGCTTTCCCAGCAATACCTAAAAAGTCAAAGTCATTGTTGTCAAGTCAGAACCAACTCATAGTTGAACCTCAATCGGATTTCTGAAAACTGGAAAGTGCAGGGAATAGGACTGTCCATCTTTCTCCTTCAGAGTGGCTGGTAGATTCGCACTGTAAGAGAAGTTACGCCTTTGGGTGAGCAGAAAACTCTCTAAGGATTAGGCCACCAGAACTCCTTTCAGTCCTGACCAAAAGGCAAAAATACCACCTTTCACAAGTCTTTTTCAACTACACAATCCCTACAAGGGTTAAAATGCAAGGGAGCTAGCCTCATTCCAAAGAGTAATACCAAGTGTCATCTGATGCATAAGTAAACATTCTGGTCTGGTGGTCAAGTCTCTGTGAAAGCCCAGGCAGAAAATAAAATCCAAATTTAATCATGGCTATAGTAGTCAAAAGGAATCTGTGGGTGGCACAAGCAATTAAATGCTTGATTGCTAACTAAAAACTCAGTAGTTTGAGTACAACCATGAGAACCTTGGACAAAAGGCCTAGCAATGTATATCCCAAAAAAAGCCACTAAAAACGCTAAGCAACATGATTGTACCGTGACATACACAGGTTTGCCATCAGTCAGAAGTGAGTCCATGGCCACTGGTTTGGTTTTTGGTTGATGGTAGGCAGAATAATGGCTACTCAAAGACTTCTTAATTTCCAGAATGTGTGAATATGTCATGTGGCAAAAGAAGGAAGAACTATTCTGGAATTATTTAGGTCACTGGAATGTAATCACAAACGTCCTTATAAAAGGGAGGCAAGACGGTCAGAGGAGTGGTGTGGAGAGGTATTAGGGGGAAGGATAGGAGAAGGTGAGAGAGAGTTAAAAGATTCTATACAGTGTACAAAGTACAAACTATTTGTACTTTGTAGTACGACATAACCTGGGTTTGCTGTGATGCTGAACCTTGCAGCATTGGGGTATCAAATACCAGAACGGTTTCCCAATGAGGCCGGAGTTTGGTGGAGCTCCCAATTGTAAAACAGGTTTGGAAGCATGAGTGGCATCCACTTCCTAAACTACAAACCTCTGAAAACTTTATGAGCTTGGAGAAATGATGATAGTTAAGGAAAGACATTAACTCTTTTGTTCATAGAGTCGATATGACTTGATGGCAATCAACAACAACAACATACAGTGTAGCTTTAAAACCAGAAAGAATGCAAGCCATTTCTAAAAGCTGAAAAACAAAAAGGATTCTCATCCCTTCTTCCACTCCTCACCGAGCCTTTAGTAGGTATTCATACCTGCTGACACTTATTTCTAATCCAGTATGAACTATTTTTAATTTCTGACCTCCAGAACTGTAAAATAATAAATCTATGTGGTTTGAAGTCACCAACTTTGTACTGATTTGTTGCAGCATCAACAGGAAACGAATACAGTATCATCCCTAAAAGGCGTCTCCTTAGTCAACAACACAGAGTAACCAAAACTCACCTTCTAGGAGAGAATGATCTCGAACAGCTTCGGCAGCTAATACAGATTTCCCACAGCCTGCCATTCCATACACAGTGACCCATCCTGGTTCACCATTCAGTTTGAAGAGCTTCTGTTGAATTGCATTAACCAGTTTCTTCCGAGTAACAAAAACAACTGGCCTCTGTGGTACTCCACCTTCACACAGGACCGTCCTTACTAAAACCCAAAAGAAGCAAGCATAAATAAATAAATAAAAATGGTTTGTAAGGGTTACTCAAGTAACACTGTAGCAATCAAAGAAAGAAAAGGAGTAAGAAAGGCTGACATATTAACTTCAATTTTCCTGGTTCCTTAGGAACACACAGTACAAAAGCAAACATAAACACTTGAAGATGACCACAGGCAAGAAAAGTCTCTTTCTCCCTAACTCTTTAGTCTCTTTTTGTCATACTGAAAACTAGAAAGGTGAGTGTAAGAAAGGTATGAAATTCCTTGAAAGAATAGAAAATTTGTAAAGACATTTATTCTTCCTATACATAATCTCTAAAACCATAAAGAACTGGGGAAGAACTGAAGCAAGGGCCTATAAATTGTCTTCTTGTTCTTATGTACCATTGAGTGAGAACCAATTCATAGCTGACCCTCTAGCATGTCTGCAGAGGCTGTAAGGTAACTGCTCATGGAGCAGTTGAAGGATTTGAACCACTTGCCTTTGGGTTGGCAGCACAACTCCTTACCCACTAGGTCACCAGAGTTCCCTGTAAATTTATAGCTTTAAAATTTACTATATGTATGCAGCAATGAATGAATGGAAATCCAAAATCTCTGTAAATGCTCATCAAAATTATTTTTAAAAAAATAAAGCTTAAGAAGAAAAAAAAAATCTTAAGAGAGGTTAGTACTCTTAAGGAAATAGCGATAAAAATTTTTAAAAAATTTACTATTGTACATTATAGCTCAGTAGTAAATGGAGAAAACAAAAATGTGAGAGTTAACATGGATACAAATAAATATATTTAAACTGGAAAACAATTTTTATATGCATCTTTCAATAAACTGATTAAAATGTCTTGGACAGACACTATCAAAAAGACAAAACTGCAGCAAAGTTATTCGTGTGACAGAAGGTATCAGATACAAACCATATGAAGTTATCCCACCATCCGAATCTTTGCCATTGTAAGATGAGACAACAGGAATACCACTATGCAAAAGAGCGGCCAGATCTTTATAGCCTTCGTGCAGTAAAGCATTGTAGAAGGAGATATAGGAATAATTATCTTTTTTAAGAATCATTTTAATTAGCATAGCTGCTCGCTGTTGTTGAGTGGGCTGGAAAAAATAAAATGTACACAATTAATTCTTTTGCAAGAGAAACTGGTAGAGACCAATGCAAGTTCGGAGATAAATTCTGACACTTTTCAAGAAATCACAAATGCTTCTCTCAAGGGTCTTTACCTCAATCTTCACTTTTTCCTCCTCTGATATTGTTAAAACTCCATCACTAATCATGTGATCCATGATATAGGATGTCTTGATGTCTCTTTCCAGAGCTTCTCTGTGTTGAAGCAAACAATTTCGAGCTTTTGCATCCATCTTCCCTCAAAGATTTTTCTCTCTTCTGAGTTGTCAGTCATTAGCTGCTGGCAAAACACCAAAATGCACGTCAGGCCCATAAAGATATGAAAAGCCGTCCAACCTCTCTGGGAAGCAAGAAATACAAATAAAATGAGAATTTTTTTGGTAAAGACTTTTGTAAATTAACAAATTGGATGTTTCAAGGGTGTGAGAAAATGGGTATCTAATTCTCAAGAAGAGTACAAAAAGCTTTTCTAGATAGCATGATGCTAAGACCTCAAAACACTCAAACTAAGTCTGGTAGCTGAACCTCTAGCAGGCATCTGGAGAGGCTAGAAAGATTACCATCTTTCACTCTCTAAGCAGCTGGTGGATCTGAACTGCCAAAGGCATGGCCTCTGGGTTAGGAACTCAACTTCCTACAAACTATGCTACCAGAGCTCCCTGGTAAGACACAGAACAATTTAGAATAATCACTCTTTTAGTCTTCTAGGAATTTACTGCAACTACAAAAAAAACCCCATGCCTGTTTCTGTCTAGGAGAGTCCAGCTCCAGGAACCCAACAAGACAGAGCTTAACTACTTCACAGGGTTTCCAAGGATATTATCTTTATAGGATCACTGCCAAATCTTTCTCCCATAAAGTAGATGATTGGTTCCAACCACTGGCCTTTTTGCTTAGCTGCTGAGAGCTTCACCACTGCACCACAAAGGATCCTTCTTGACTTCAAAGGAGCCCTGGTGATGCCTTGGTTAAATGTCAGCAGTTCAAACCCACCACCCACTAGGAGGGAGAAAGAGTGACAGCCTTAAATGCATTATGAGGGTAGTTCTACTCTGTCCTAAAGAATCACCGCACAGAAACAGCTTACAGAGTAATGAGTCTCAGTTCATAGTGATGAAAAAAATCACACTGGTTAAGGGTTGTTGTTGTTGTTGTTAAGTATCGTTAACGATAAATGTTGTCAAACAGTTGTACTCGTAAAAAGTTGAATTGGCAAAAGTTATGTGACAAATGAAAATGCAAATCAAAACCACAATGAGATACTGTCTCACCCCAGTAGGAGCAGCAAAGTTTAGCAGGGCAGCAAGCAATAAATGTTGGAGAGGATGTGAAGAGGTGGGAATTCTCATACACTGTTAGTGGGATTGTAAAATGGTAAAATCACTCTGGAAGGCAGTTTGGTGTTTTCTCAAAAAGTTGAACATGGAAACGCTATATGATCCACTATTCCACTATTAGGAATATACTCCAAAGAAATTAGAACTGAGATATAAAGGGAGATTTGTACACCAATGTTCATAGCAGCATTATTCACCACTGTAAGAACATGGAAACAGTCAAAATGCCCAACCACAATTGAATGGACTGAGAAATTATGGTACATTCACACAATGGACTATTATGCAGCAAGCAAGAGCAATGATTTCAAAAAAATACTACTAAATAACTTGGGAGAGACTGGAAAGCATTATGCTAAGTGAATTAACTCAGTATCCAAAGGACAAATACTGCATAAAACTATTATTGTAAAAATAGAAGAATATCTAGTAAAAAATGTATGAGGATCCAAGGGGGTAAAGGATGAGATCGGAGGGGTGAGAATGGGTAGGGGCTAAATTATAAGGTTGCACAATTTGGTGGGTGGAGAGAGGGTGTGAAGGAAATGGGAACAATCTGGCACAGACCTGAAAAGATAAGGTAATGATGGGCAAGGTCCATAGGTGATTAATTTTATAACACATAAGGCATGGGAATGATTGTATGAAGCACAATGTGAATGAAGAATAGTGTGAAATGTAAAGTATATGAACTTTATTAGCAAACTAATATAAAATAAGAGAATATTGCCAAAAGAAAGAAAAGTTCTACGACAGATCTATTTACAATAAGAAGACTGGCTGCTCAGGCTTCTTATTTACAACCCACTATCTCTTGAACTTTGGGTTGGAGATTCAGGATCATGAGTTCATAGGGTATTCCTTTGAACAATGTGTGTTTGTTTTGTAGTGTCTGAAGTCTAAAAGATTGCAAGCAAAAGACTGCAAGAAGGTCCAATAATTCATCACTATTCACCTGAAACAACACAATATGGAGCCATGAATAGGAGGAAATGAAATATTCAGCAATTGCCTCCACAAGAAAGGCATTTCTCTCATTTCCCATGAGATCAGAAGAACTGGATGGGGTTGTTATGTGCCATCAAGTCAACTTTGACTCATACTGACCCCATGTACAGCAGCTCTGAAGCCCACCTTGTCCTGAGCCAGTCTCACCAACTCCAACACACCTATCTCCATTGCCCCAGTTACTGTATCAATCCATCTCATCTGGGATCTTCCTCTCCTGTGTTCCAAGCATGATGTTCTTCTCCAAGGATTATTCCCTCCTGGTCATGTGCCCAAAGTATGTGAGATGGAGCTTCAAAACCCTAGCCTTATAGAACACTTTTAATCAGATTCTATAGAAGAATCTTGATTAAAAAGGAGAAATGCAGAACAGAATTTCACAGTTTCATAGACTCCACACCTTCTGGAGTCATGTTGTTGTCATTGTCGTTAAGTGCCATGAGTCGTAGGTGACTCATAGCGACCCTGTGATCAAAAGTCCTCAACATTTGTGTGACTTTCACTCTATTTCCAGGTTCATAGGGTTTCCAGAGGCAAGCTTTTATGGAAGTGGATACCACTCCTGCTTCCAAGCTTGTTTTAATCGGGGAGCTCCATCAAACACTGTCCACCAAGGGCAACCATTCTCACTTTTGACACCTCAGTGTCACAGTGTTCAGCTTCACAGCAACCATAAGTTACCTCTGTACGGCAAGTGGACAAACCAAGGCTATACAGCCTAGAAGAATGTTTCACCAAAGACAATTGGAAATGGGCCCTACAGTATTTTACCATTTCGGCACGCCCAAACGTTGGCAAACTCTGGGTCAGAGACCCCTGGAGTCATAGAGGGTTTATAAACTCCTTAAACTATGGCCCTGAGATCAGCTTTCAATCTTAAACCTAAAGTATCCCCCAAAATCTTCTTAAAATCAAATCATTTTGGCCTCTCCTCCACAAAGTCTATCCCTTTGGCGTGTAACTTTCTGATAATTCTCTTTTTCTTAACTGCCACCAGAAAAAAAACAAAACAACCCAAGTAGTTTAGCTTAACTAATAAAAAATGTCTATCTTGAGTATTTTGCTCTTTAAGAAACTATTTACATAGGCTCGAATCAACAACAACAACTCAAAAGATTAGATGGGGAATGTAAGGAACAGTGAGTTTGTTAACGGGAGAGAAACAAAAGAGGACCTCAGTGAACTGTACATGCAGAAACTACTGAATAGGTGCATTTTTGGTTGTTGATATTCTCAAATAGTAAAATTTATTTTTTTTAATTTATTATTTTTTTGTGTTTGTACTATCAAATTGGATCTGACTGGTACAGGAGGAGATTGCCCCTCCATCTCCAGCAAAGAATCTGGTGGATTTGAACCGCATACCTCTGGAATTGCAGTGCAACGTCTTGTCACTAGGCCACCAGAATTCCCTTTAAATCATTTAAAAAGAAAAATTGATCATTTCTAAGTCCTAGGCTTTGAGATTTTTCTTGTTTCTACCTTTTCCACCACCTGAATTTCAGAAACATCTGAGGAACAGGATTGAGGCCTTGAACACTAATGAGCAAAGACCAGATGAGTTGTGGGAGGATGTCAAATGTATCATCCAGGAAGAGTGCAAACAGTCACTGCAAAGACAGAAGAGGAAGAGAAAACCAAAATGGATGTCTGGGGAAGCTCTGGTGGCCTAGTGGTAAGGAGCTGCAACTACAATCCCAGAGGCGCACG